GATACTGCAACCATCGATATCTATACTTTTTCCTTTCTCTATATATATCTTACATGTTTACTTATGTGACAAAACTATATCTAGTCAGATCAGTGATGGCAGATGATTGTTGATGGAAATGCTCCTAATCTTCCAGAGTTTTTAATATCTATACTCTTTGTTGAAGCAGTTGAACTATGTCCAATAATAAGATATACATTTTGTTTCAATTCCTGTTTTAAAAGAAATACACATCTAAAATGATGCTAAATGAAAGTTGTAGAACTGTTGGCAAGTCCATGTTAAAACAGAACAAATGTTAACAAAGTCAGAACTACTCTGAGACATACTGCATCATTTTTCCCCTACAGAAGTCTGTGTAAGACAGAAATGGAATATCCATCGCTGACAATGATAAAACTACAGAAACTTACCTTGGCAGAGTTACATGAGTGCTGCCTATAGGTACAATCTCCATTGACTTCCCCCAGAATTTGTTCTTACACCTCACATCTACAAAAAAGACGTATACAAGTTAACAATAGTCCTTAAAGAAAACAACACTTTTTAAAAATCAGAAGTGACTGAATGGATATAAATAGTAAAATTCAAGTACCTTGCCAGAAGACAAAGTTTTTAGACTCTGCATGGCAAGCTGAAATAGGTGGGTGATGGCTGACCTGACATTACAGAAAGTAACATGGTTTAATCACACAGTCCTACACAAAGAATGGTTTGTCCTTTTGAAAGGTGCCTCACAAAAAAATTGCCTTTTTCATTTGGGGAGTACAAGTTACTTCAATCTCATAAGTCAGTGCACATAGTGGGGTTGTTGAACCACTGAAAAAATAACTTCAAGCTATTGTGAATACCTGCTCGGCAACAAAGTGAAAGCCTTTGTCTGGCCGATCACATTCATATGTCTCTCCTAAAACAGGATTGAAAGGCTTCCCTCCCGTTCTGTAGTAGCTGGACGCATAACCAGAAACAACAAACGTGGCAATGTACATCTGAAAAACAGAAAAGAGAGAAATAAGAACAGTTTTTGTTGTATCCAACAAAGGTAAGTCAGGTCCTCTTGACGGTTTCTTTGTGTTGAAATGTTTTGTCTTTCATCCAAAAGACTTCATCAGTCCAAGGAGCCACAACAAACTCAGACCCATAAGTAGCAGGCTCATATAGTGGGCCAAGCAGTTTGATGGTGATAAGATGGTTTCTGGAGTCCAACCTCTCCCCTGTCGACTTCTCTGAGACAGTCATGGCCAAAGTGGTTCAAAACATCAAAGTTCATGCTCATTAATCCAGGTAAAACATCCAACAAATTGTTTATGTTGTTTTATTATAGGTCAACAGCATCATTAAACATTTATGTCTTGTCTGTTAAGTATCTGAATAGGTTAGTTCAAATCTCATTTTGAGTCCTTGTTGGACTGGTATATTCTTTTTACTACGATAGTCAGAGTGATTGAATAAAAACTCATTTAATATTTGCACTGAGCCAAAAGGGCACTGTTTGCTCCACTTCATTATGGGAGCCCATGGCTCCCACTCCTTTAGCAATGTGTGTTCAACATGCTCTCATTTGATAACTGAAGACAGATTCTCTTTTTGTATTTTTCAGTCTTTCTCCCTGTTCCTTTTGTTGGATTTACCTGTTGTTTTACAGCCAGCTGTTCTACATGCAACACCCTTAAAATAAATAAAGATGTTTGCTTTTGAGACTGTGAAGGCTTTTCACATTTTCTTTTCTTTTAAGTTTCACTTACATTAGTAAAAAGTGATGTCACAGACTTCATTCCTACAATGCTCATTAATATATTAGATTACTTAGGAAAACTACATAAATCCTAAAGTGATGACGTGAAAAATCATGTGTTCCTGTTGGATATTGTTCAAAGATCACACAGGAAACATGAGCAGAACATGTGTTTCATATGTTAATTTAACATGTATTACAGTTTTTATGATTTATCAGGCAAGCTAACTATATCTCTGTGTTTAAATAGTTACTGGATAAAAAGCAACAGCAGTTGCAAAAACAAAAAATAGTTTTTTTCTTTCTCAATGTGAAGTTGACTTGAAATGTCTACAGTCTAAAACAGTTTTTCCTTTTAAAATTAACTGTAATAACACTGACATTGCAGTATTGATTACGTTTAGGAAGTATTTTCACTTTTTTGTTGGTTCTACAATTTTTATTATCCCCAAGGGGCAATTTGTTTCACAGTCAGTAGCACATAAAACACCAAGTCAAGATATTGAGAGATTAAAATAATAGTACAGAAATCACCATTGTTCGTTGAGAAGCCTGATCGTTACAGGAATAAATGAGTTGTTCAGGTTGTTTGTCCTGCAGCTGGGCTGCAGATATGTGTCCAGATGAAGCAACCTGAACTCAACATGGAGAGGATGATCAGGATCTGCCAGAATCAACCTGGCCTTGTTCACTGACCTCGCCTTGTGTAGGTCAGTGAGGTTCTGTGGATGGTGTTGGTGGTAGCTGAATGAGAAAATCCAATAAATATGAAGCTACAGCTAAGCTAACAGACACTTAGCTTAGTTAACCGAAATGACAAACCAAAAAGATAAACAACATATTTCCTAAATTTATAAAATGTTTTGTGTGTGTGTGTGTGTGTGTGTG